CCAGGAGATCCAACTAGGTATACGGTTGTTTTGCAGTTAGTGTCCGCGATGCAAACGTTTGTGCTGAAAGTTCGTGCTGACCGGATAAAGTTGATCAGCACACAACTGGAAGAGTCGCCCTCCGATATCTGTGCGAGGAGTACGGACTCCGGGTCGACCACCCAAATGTGATTCCAAGGAACTCGGACGATTTACGTGGGCATTCACATCGCCTGCAAGGAACACAGTATCGGTGCTTGTTGCTTGACGAATGAGTCTGGATAAGCCCTCATAGAAAGTATCCTTCTCAGCATCAGCGCTGCAGTCCTTTGGGGCGTAAGTTGACACTACACGCAGGCATTGTTTTTTGTGTGGCGTAGTGAGTTTGGTCAAGCTGGATAACCGGACGGCGCAAAGATGACTGTTCACTGTGATCGAATACAGCAAAGTGCGTTTAGCTCTGGGGCTGATTCATCGCTTCTGGATCACCGTACACACAGAGAAATGTGAAAGAGCTGAATTCGTCATTGGTGTTCTGAGATGCATGACCACGCTTTGGTATTGTGTGCGTGCTTCGAAGATGCAGCACGTATCAATTTTTAGGGGAGTATAGGGTTTCAGAGAGCATTGCATGCTTTCCGATTTGACATAGAGTGCATAATTCGAAGACCTGTATGTAGAAGGCTCGTGTGGACTTAGCAAAGTATTGTTCCTTTAATTGTCATTAGGCAGCAGTCAGTATAAGGCCCATCGGTCATATCGGTGACAGTCAAATGACTCAGCAAGGTTCGCTTTTGTGGTGAGAAGGGGGGGATATAGATGGACACAGAACTGTTCAGGCAAATGTTACTTCCCGATTGCCCAGACCAAGCAAAGGGGTTTGGTTGGAGTACTCCGCCTCGAGCCTTTGACTCAAAAGTCTGACCCGCAAGGTATCGGGAGATAGGGTTTTCATTGGGATCCCTGTCTGCAGCCGATGACTCAATAGTCGGACCTGCTCAGCTGCGGGGTGTCTTCTTAATCCGAGAGCGCAGGGAATAAGGCATTACTGTCTCACTCCTAATGTGGCTGCACGCATGAATATAGACATTCTGGTCGCCTTGGGGCGACACCTTACTGCCTTCTTACTCCAGTCGCAGAGAGCAGTACGACTTTACCTCTAAACCGACTCTTAGTGCGGGATCTCGCTGCTCTTTGTCTGACTTCTCCCATTTAGCCTTTCTGGCATGGTTGCACCTTGTGGAACGAACTTCCAGCCAGTGTAGCCTGCGGTATCATTGCACCAGTCACGCTCGACCACCGCGTCAATGTGGCAGCTTTGGGTCGGGATGAAACTTACTGCCATTGGAGCTACTGCAACCTAGGTGTATAAGATTCTGCCCCAAAACCCCTGCTCCTCCTTGACTTGCAAGAATTCGGAGGCTGCACATCCCAACGCGGGATTTTGTAAGTGCAAAGTACATGCCTGTAGATGGTAGGATGTCGATTGTCAGTTTATTGCACACTCTTGAGCATTGACTTCGTCTTCATATGTCAGGAAGATGTCTGCGTGTTCCAAATCGACAAGGTCCTCACTAGCTACTATTTGAACACCAGGGTTTTCAAAGCCGTCGAATGTTTGCCTCCTTATTTCATCGGGGACAAACTTGAACAAAAATCAAGAGTGAACATCCTTGCCTGACATCAGTGTTTGTAGGGAGGCTTCCCGTACACCTACGCTCCAGGAGGTGTGACTGTTAGGACCAAATTTTGTTCACAGATATCTGGTAGGTCCCCCACTGACATTTCTGTAACATCTGACGGAGTGTGAAGTTGTAGTCGATGCAGCCCCAAATGGAAAATTAATCATTCTGCCGCATGCTTTGTTGGCGTCCAGTTGCAATGTTACCCGAAGGGATTATGAGATCTGAGATACTACCAGGCTGTCCAGAACCGGCTTGTCCGTGGTTTGGGCCCGATTTCTCTTGTCTACGATTGGGTAACCTGACAGTTTCCAGGCCATGTGCTTCCTTCGGGTGGCATGGTAGCTAGGCACCGGAAGAGTGTTACAGCTAAACAACTTGGGACGACCTGGTCGGAAAAGGTGTGTGCAAGTGTACGTATGTTTGGCTGTCCAGATCATCGCTGCCTACAGCAGCAAATAGTGTGAAATATGGAGCAAGATGGCTCAGTGTTTGGGGTGCGATCACTGGAAAGTTTGTGGTTCGAACTCGATCTCTGCCTCTCGACTTCCCCTATATAGGCTTGGGCAACCTGGTAGTATCGTATTCCTCGTACTTCCTTTGTGTGGAATGACAGCTAGACACAGAAATGGTGTTATGGCTGAACGATTATTTTTTAGTGTGAAATGCAAGTTGCTTCAGACACTTACTCAGCTTCAAACCGCGTACCAAGTTACGGTAGTTCCAGCTGCTATAATTTCTTTCATTCAGAATAAGAGACAATAAGATTATGACAATCTCTCATTGTAGACGACGATCCAATCAATGCACTGAGGTTGACTTGTTCTGTTTTCCTATATGGTAGGTAGTGAGGTAACTGAGAACTGAAGGCATTAGTGAATTGGAGATAGCTCAGTGTTTAAGGCGCGGACTTATTGACCAAGGAATCCGTCGCTTGAACTCAACCTCTACACTCTAAGTGCCGTCGTTTAGGCTCGGCAACCTGGCAGTATTTCAGCTCCCGTGTTCCTTTCAGGTGGCGTGGCAGCTATGCACCGAAGGGATGTTATAGCTGACTGAAGATCATAGTTTCGATATAATAGTATCTGTCCGGGTCATTATCTGTTGTCAATTTGTTTATCTCGTCGAGTTGACCGTTGAAGATTTTCACACTTCGTTGCTATGGGTTGATCGCCTCTGAATCGTCTTCATTCCACTGAGCTTGGCGAAGAGAGCCCTACGGGGACGAATTCCCCAGGCATACAACGCACACGGCTCAACCTATGGAGTGTGAAGAGATGATCTTTCGTGGAAGAGTTACATCCCCCGTACAACATTCGGCGCGTCTCTGTACTAGGTGTATGGTATTCTCACCAGACCAAGAAGCGGAACTGAGATGTCTTCAAGTGTTCGACAATCGTTGTCTCAGGACCATGGCTCATGTGGATTGGTGTCGACGTATCCGTAAGGGGGCAATTAGAAAGCGAGTTGTGAGTTGTGCATTGAATGTATGTGTGAAGAATGTGTCCAACACCAGAAGCCGTGTTGGTTGGGACACGTGTTGCCTATGCCTAATGGTCGTTCGTAGAAGAGAGTACTGTTTTCCATGCCCAACTCAGAGTGGCGGAAGCAGAGAGGTGGCCAACCCTTGACCTGACAGAGGGGTGTGAAGGAGATTACAAAACGTTTGGGTGCTGTCGGTGCTACTCGCCTTCCAGGATGGGAACTGCATGATTCCCACTGCTCCCGGTTGGACACTTCAAGATATGGCTGCCAACCGATGTCAGTGGCGTTCTGGTTGTCAGTTTCTATCCAGATTGCCCGAGTGAGTGTTTGGAGGTGTAGGGGTCTCGAAATTATTGTAGTAAGCTAGCACTAAGTCTCTTCTCCATTCACCTTTATTGTTTCGTTCAGAATAATGCTTTCAAATAAATCATGGTTGTACGGCAGTGGAGCACCGGTGTTGAACACTGATATCATACTCTCTGTGATTGTGATGAAGATCTCAATCAGCAAACTGCCTCGGGGACTGAACGCAGGGTCTTTTGCAGACGTCAACTACGTCTGTGAACCATACTTGGTGTCTGTGAGCGAAAGTGTGTGTGTGTGTGTGTGTATGCCGGAGGCATGTGGAGTCGTGAAACTCTCTACTTACGAAGGTTAAAACAGCTGGATGTAGTGAACCCAGGACGACATTGGTGGCAGACCTGTGAGCTTCTACGGGCGCTGTGTATACAACCTTTATAAGTAATGCTAATTTAGAATCAGAGCATACTATCACCAGACGCTGTTATATCTTCTGGCGATCGGCATTGTCAGAGGCTGGCTTCTGGTAAGTGAAAATATCAGTGAGAGTCGTAAAAGAAGAGCCGCGGTTCCAATACTTGCCGCAAAGTGCAAATATAGATGACTCATCTCCGACCGAGATCCAGCTTGACTCTCGCGAATTTGAATTCGTCGATAGTGGATCAACCTGTTCATGGCAATAACGGCGAGTGCCCAGTGTTTGACCATCGATGTCTTCGGAGCGTTGCATGAGTTTGGTGGGACCACCGTATCTGCACTGCTCAAGTACGTCGAATGGTTTTCGGAAGGGACGACTCGTCCACGATAGATGGACTGATGACACCTTACAGGTTTCACTGGCTTGGCCAAGTCCTCTGTACGCCAATCGACTAACTTCCTTGAAGGGTGAAAGCAAGACAGGGGGTTAAGCAGTGACATAGCAGACATGAGATTCATCACCAGCAACCTCAGTTGGGCTGGTCATTTCCGTCTCCTTGGATGGGGACCCGGATATGGGACACATCAGTGGTTAAAAACGTTAGACATCCCGCAGTCGCGCCGTCAGTGCTTGAATGGAGTAAACCTCAAGAGATACCCCTTCGGTAAGTGGCTACTCCTTTCGAGAGCCACTATTCGCCATTCATGGTCAGTCATGATGTAGCTCAGAATTCTCGGATAAAAGCCTTAAATCCCCCTTCCCCTTGGCTTAGCTCTTTCGGATTGTGGGGCACCATATTTCCTACTTCACATTGAAACGATCTGTATACTGAGGCCCTCTACTGGACAGACGCGTAGCAAACTACCATTAGGACCCTCACGCATTTTAGGAATGCCATAAGGTACTCGCTGAAAGAACATGAGGCTGTCTTACGTTCCCAGGTCCGTTTTATCCAATAAATCCTTCGTTGCTGGGTTTGTTTTCAGTTGTTTGGCCACACGGCAGTCATCCTTCCCCCACGGGGGCTCGTTACACTCAGACGATTTTAACCCCACAGTGGATACTGATAATCTTCCTTTGAAGCCTGTTTTTTTGTCAAACACCACGCTGACTTTTCTACACTTTTTCCGTTCCAGAAACCCGCAGAACTTTTTGAATGCATATCGCAATGCATCTTGAATGCGGTTGATCGCGATTGTTTGGCTGGTTGGGGAGCACGAGTCTATCTCATGTAAGTGTAAGATTTTTGCGCTCAGTTGAGCACCATCATCTGCCAAGTTTCACTCGTAATTTTTCGTATGTAGTTGGTGGGTCGAGAGCACGAATTTACTGATCGGAAGGTCCGTGGTTCGAATCTTCCCCTGTCCAGGCTTGGACAACCTGGCAGTATCCCAGCCCTCGTGCTTCCTTCGGATGGCGTGGAAGCTAGGCACCGTAAGGGTGTTACAGCTGAACGATTATCTTATCTTATTATTTCGGTCTGCACTCTTGAACGAACATATTTTGGGCATTGTCTAAATACTGAGTGGCCTCGGCGGAATACCGTTCTTAGCCTACTCGAGACAAGCTTTTGACGTATGTCACTAGCTGGACGAACATCGACTAACAGAAACCAGGCGCTCCGTCCCACGCATCATTCGTAATTCGGTTTGAAACATAAAAATGACACCTGTTTCCCTCTTTTTCGACACTTAGTAATTCCCATAATCTTTCTTGACGCCAATTCAACTTTGTTCTAGAAATAGGGTTCCCGCATGTATGCAATTCCCACTGCCTAACTCCATTCAAAGTAAGAAAATCCATCATCTTCTGACAAAGCTGTTCGAAACACTTACGGACAACTGAAGTTTCGCCAACACATGAAAAGGACGCTGGATGCGGTTATTTTCCTTCCCCTGTTTTGATGAAACCACCCAGGACACCCTTTCATCCCCTGAAGGTCTCCCGGTGGAGCTTCGTACTTGCGTGGATTGATTGTGTGAAGCTCTATAGGTGGCTTCATCCAATCCACACACCAAGCTCAGAAGCAATTCGATTCCCAACGGAGAAATGCTAACTACCATGAAGATGCGAAGATGATGGTATCCAATTTAACCATTGACTGGTCACACTGCATTGGTTGCGCTGGCTTGGCCACGTGCTGCGTATGCCAGTCGACCGACTTCCTCGAAGGCCTCTTTTCTCGCAACCAAGTGAAGGGCGGAAGAGAGCCAGAGGCGGTCAAACAATGACTTGGCAGCGAAGTGTGGAAGCCATTACCAGCAAACTCAGCTGAGCTGGTCACTGTCATCTTCTTGGACGGGGACCCCGAGACCGGCCACATCAACGGCTAGAGACATTGTCAGACATGGCCCAGTCGCGCCCTCAATGGCGCTCGTGGATCCAAGCTATTGCCTTCAATGCGTGACTCCCTTCCCAATACCCCCACTTGACAGCCCACTGACAATGCTGGATTTATTTATCATCTCCCGCCTGCAATGCGCAGCTACCTAACCCCCAAATCATCGGTGAACGAAACTGCGGCAGCTACAACCACTGTACGACGAGTACGCGGTTATTGCAGCTGATGATGATGATTGACAGGAAATGACAGTGGTGATGCATCGAATTGAAACGTTCCTTCAACACCGTGTGTGTGTCTGCCGATCCTTTGGCATTAACTATCATGATCGGTTATCTGGCCTACTTATTGTCTACGTCGCTTCTGTTCATTTAGGCCGAACAACATACTTCATGGCTGTTCAGCCGGCATTGGTTATTTCTAAACAATAGGCGGGCAAAACATCCTGACTTGTAACGTCACTAACATTGTTAGCCATATGCCTTTAACAGAGACCGTCAAATTGTGTTCCCATCAGGCTTCTAGACGAATAACTGAGAGTTTTAGCCCTGAGGCACACAGACACATTGCGAAATGGTACCGTGTCACATGGGAGCAGCGTTACTGCTTAAAATGATATCCCGACAACATGTTAGATAGAAACGACGCGGGACAGTCAATCTAGGGTGTCTGACTCAAAACATTCAATCTTTAGGTTCGTCCGTGCCCACAAGACTTGCTGGTGAGACCATATAGTCCTCACTCTACACTGAACCTATTTGGGCTGACAGGGTCTTAGTGTCCACAGGTTTTTCCCGGTTTGACACGAAAGATACCTAGTTCACACCTCATTTTACTGAGAGCATTTTGTCAGCCGAGATTGCTCTGCAGCGAAGGCGACAAAGCAGCTACTGACGACATTTACCAGATATTTGACGAGGATGTTTGCCCGTCTCACAATGCCGTTAGTATTGACACAAAACAATTGAAAACGAGACTACCGACCGTTTGGAGGAAGGCGTATCATGTAGTTCCTACGCACACAAAATTTACCATACCCGGTGCACATAGTTTCGCACTTTCCCCAATTTATCGATGTGCTCGCCGGTGGCTATGCTGAATTTCACTTGCGACGATAGAGCAGAACTTTCGATTCTTGGGCTAGATGGGGCCATTTGGTCGTATCCAGAAGCCATCGTTCCTTACACGTCCTCGAAACTGGTCTTTGTTTGAAATCAACTCATCTTTTTCTGTTGATGCTTTGAACCTTTCGGACAGTTTCGCTTCGGCTTTTTATGCTCAGAAGTGCCCGGCAGTGGCCAGACGTTGTTCACGGCTTTTTCAACTTTGGTTCATGTTGCAACTGAGGAAATGCATCTCCTTTTGTGCCATTCAAGTCGATAAAAGTAGGCTTTGTGATTACCACTGTTCGAGAAACAGCGAAGTATAGCGAAAATGATGAAAACTAAACATTTTCCCAAGCTTTCGAGCGAACAGCAGTACGTTTTTGAACGAACTTGGTTTGTTTTCTCCTTTCGCGTCTCGCCGCCTTGATGGTTGGTTGTAACTTCCCTTATGAAAATGTACTGCGATATTTCGAATATCGTGCCAACTGAATCATGAGGCGCCCTGTGTGCAGCACATTCAGTTGTAGAATATCCTAAACGAGAGATTCAGTTGATTCTATCGTGAAAAACCAAATTGATTTGCAAATGAGTGTATTTCTCGAGAACTTCACGTCCACCTTTCAAGCGTATCCCGATCGAGAAAGATATTAATAAGTGTAATAAGTGTGTTGTGTGCCCTGCTGAGTTTTACCGTTCTGTTTCTTGTCTTACCACACAGTGAACCGGAGCAAGTCACTATATCCGACTTGAAAATGCGAATGGACTGAACTGAAGACGCCCGGACTGGAATTCCGCACTCCCATAACCTACTTCACCGATTGTTACTGATTGCCAGTTGTGTATAAAGCGGTCATAATTTTGAAACCATGTTCTTCAACATTTATCTGGGCGGTTTTTTTTAGTATCAGTCGTTCCTGAATTTTTTCTTTGCTGCCACTGATGACACCTAGAATAGAGCATCACATAGTGGGGCTTTTACAAAAAGTCGTGGCGGGTTACGTGTGTACTGAAAGCGATAACTCGAGTGCGCCTCTGTTGAGCAGCTGGGCTACCGGTGTTTTTGCTGCCACTTCGTAGGAGAATGGCTGCTGCGAACACTGTTGAATTTTCATAGCATTACTTTTGGAATTCCACTTTATTTCGCCATCTCCCCATAGAGCGCTTTATACGGTGTGTGGATAACTGGAAGTGTTTCCCAGCGAAGTCGATACGTTGTTACCTTATCCATAACTTTCAGAAATCGGGGAATGCGAGCATCATTTTTGACGGCGCAGTAGGGTTGCTGCAGACTTAAGAGTTGATAGCAACCTTATGAGTAGTGTCCCGTCAAAAGGATGTACCGCGAAATCTTGAAAATTCTACCAGAGGAATTGGTCTCTGTGAGACACATCAATTTGAACAATACGATAAACGAGTAATCCAGGCGAGTCTCTCGCTAAGAGCGAACTAGCTTAAGGTTGCTTGTAGTCCGTGACTTATGCGTTTATTGTTCATATGTGGTGGGGTTGTGTCCAAAAAAACGAGTTCAGTCCCACCGGCTGCTTATATGTATTTGTGATTCTACCTAGTAGGCCTAACATATTCGTATTTTGCGCAGTTAATTGGCACTATGGCTCATGTTCATAATCATGAACTGCTCACCAGTTGTCGGACTATTATCCAGTCTGCAGTGAGTTGTTTTTTGAGCTCAATAGCGGGACTGCCCTGCCAGTTCGTCAGGGCATCCAGTCTGGTTCTGGACCTCGAGGGTGCAAAGGTGGTCGGTAAGCTCGGTCACGGGTCACCGCCTAGGTGGCTAACAATAGCCAGTCACAGTATGTTTGAAGACTGTTGAAGTTACGGATTGTTCACATGCATCCGTGGCACGCATCCTCGGAATATGTGCACCAAAGTTTGCGCGCACAAGAATCGCGCTGGTAAATGCGGAATTCGTGATCTTGCTCCCCCGCCAAGCTTTGTGATATCATCGAAATCCGGTCCGGCATATGAAAACTTTTGCCGGCGAATCCTGCTTCAACCTAACTGAGTGTCAAGTGGACTGTTTGGATGATGTAGCTGTAGAACATCGCCAGTGTAACAATGATATGGGCCACATTATCTCGTTTGGTGATGAAAAGTCTGCAATCCGACTGCCAAGTTCGGCAAACGAACCAGCGACAGTTTCCGGCAACTTTATTCTGGCTCGGCTCGTGCACTTCACTCGCACCCATAAATATGAAATGAAGGCTGCACCTGGTGACGACCGACGAATACAGCAGCGTGGGTCTATCCTTACCACCTTAACTCTTATATCCTCCGTAAATCTGGGGGAGACCATTCTCTTGCTTAGAAAAGTGAATAACATCTTACAATAGACCGCGCTTCAGACTGAAGGAAAGCCCGTGCGGCACTGACCTCAAACAAGGATCTCGGAAGAAATCGTATTTGTCCCCCCCCAGTGGACACCCTGTGTTTACTAAGCGATGCCCAAGAATAGGCGACTCCACACCAAGCAGAAAGGTAACTATGAAGTGAACACACGCTCAGGAGGTGCATTAAAAGCTAATTGTTTGGGTTTCATTTGTCACTTGCGACAGATATGGTCGAATCACCGGCTAGGAAGCTCCCATTCTGAAGAATTGCTTTGGCCAACTCTCTAGGATAGTCCCTTGTGGCCAGATCGACGTACGAACGCAGTAGATGAGACAAAAGCTCGAAAGCGGTGAGGATGAAAGTACACCGATCATGAGTAGCTCCACTCACTCGGCACTGTCCTAATTAGCGTCAAGTGCCTCGGCATCTTGAGCATTTTCAGCTGTTCTTGAAGGTGAATATCGCGGCAAAGGGCAGTCTAGTGCATGTGGACTTCGGCTGATTTGTTGAGATCTGATACACCCGTGTGTCTTTAGCAAGACCAACCTGCTAGACAGTGGTACCTTGACGGATGTTTGGACTGAGACGCTGTATACACAAGTCCAGTTCCGAATCAACAGTGAGAATGTTGTGGTTAACACTAGGCCCTTCGATAGCTGATGTACTCATCAGTATTCCGAAAAAACGTCTTTGAAGCCCTTAGACAATAGGTGACATCAAGATCATTGGGAATTTTGAAATTTTCCATGAAGATTTCGCCATGTTATTCAGGCCACACTTAACCACCAAGCTTTGTCCGGCTGTTTTAGCCTTTTTGAGAATCAAGTATCTCATGAATCTCCAGGACGATTCAAACTCTCGGCTGGTATTTCAGGGCCAAACCGCCCAGTATTGTCACCAACTCGCACTCAGGCAAGATATATCACCAGTCATTGTTCAGTCACAGGATTTATCCCACGGTCACCTATCAACTGAATCACCAAGTGGTGACATCCCAGATGCAACAGCCGCTAGGGACGTGAACCAGTCCGCCCTGAGCTACTTATAGCCTGTTGGCATTGCGATGGGTTTTAGAAGTTTTACCAGCTGAGTCGCCGTCCTGTACGTGAAACAGATTTCCGACAAAGTCTGGAGGCATCATAGCGCTGCTTCATCTTCATTGGCAACTATTGGCAGTGCGCATCTCACCGCACCCCAAGCCGTCATCCCCGCTGAACTAGGGCATTAACGGCCGAGAACCGGAGAAAATCTAATAAGTACGACTCGGATAGGGAACGATTTCCTTTTCGCTTGCTAAATGCTGTGCACTGTGATGTCGTAGGCCTCAAACCAGTATCCTCAATACCATACATAATGCCATTTACAGTTAGCCCTCTGCTAGGCCAGACGATCACGCCTAAACAAGACCACATCAATTGAGTCCGGTGGGTTTCCGCTTGACCACGGTGGATTTTCAAGATCATCCAGCAACTCCAGGTGAAGGCATTTGAGCTGTACCAGAAATGTACTTGCCCCCCTACAAAAGCATGAATGCACAGAATGCGCCCTAGGCTTTCCTGCACCTAATAGACACATGACTAATCGAAACACACTGAATTACCAACGCGGATGATATTTTCAAGTATTCTCAGGCACATTAATTTGGCTATGGTTGTATGATCGCTGTTCCCTGGAGAGTGTAGCAGCTCCGGATCGTTTGCTCACTGATAATTCTGATTCGAGAATAATGGGGGCGTTCTAGATGCATTGATACCTCACGTACATATGCGTTTGTTTTTCAGCTGAGACCAATCTGATTGCGTTCTAGATGCATTGATGCCTCACGTACATATGCGTTTGTTTTTCAGCTGCCGCCGGTTGAGTCGACCGACATCACAATACTCTCCAAGGCCAAGGTGGTCAGATTAATTCCAGAATCGCTTGTGGTCGGCTGGAGAAACGAGCACTCGGTCTTTCAAACCATCGAATGCGGCCTTACCATGGACGGCTGGATACATTTTATCAGAAAGTTAAGTTACTGCTCCGCGAAACCAAAGAACATGGTTTAGTCTCCACGGTTTTACTAGGCCAATATTTATTTTCAAGGTCAAGATCATCGTTGGCTAGGGCGAACCTCAAAGCTAGTGTCCTCGAAATTCGTGGAACTGGTTCAGTGTTCATCCTAAATTACCCAGTGCCAAGCATAAAGAGATGGAATTCACCCGTTTAGTTAGCCGTTTTCAGGGTCCTATACGCCCCGACAAGAGTACTGAACGAGACTTATGGGGCGAGTCAGTGTTTATTAAGATGTGGAAGCAGAACAAGACGCCACGCCCCTCGAAAAGGTACTCTTATTGCATAAAAAGCTGTCAAGATTTATTAAGAGAAGCAGAACAAGACGCCACGCCCCTCGAAAAGGTACTCTTATTGCATAAAAAGCTGTCAAGAATGGAGATGGATTGACGGTCTATGAACGAGCCCGAGGTAGAATCTGTAGGGTACAGCACTCACGCGAGCTTCGATTCTGCTCCAGCAACTTCATCAAGTGCAGTGGTAGCGGGATCAAAACAACGAACAAGCTTGCTCCGTATGAAGGAGAACGCTTCCGATCTCCTTCACAAGGCAAACGCCATCGCCATGCCAGAATCGCATGGAGTGCGCCCAAAGTTTCTGAGAAACACGCTAGCTTTCTAGGCTGCGTGGCTCTGCTGTGTCCCATTAGTCGATCGGTGCGGTTTACTTTTTGGGTGAAGCAACTGTGACAATATATTCGTAACATCTACCTTTATACTAGGGAAATCTCCCACGTACCTTGCTTCAGTCGCAATTATTGCTGCTAAAATTCCGCACTTGCGAGTTATCTACACTGATATTTGTGATCCACCGGCTCATGATGTTTTCCTCCAACGCATTCAGTGCCGCCAGAACTTACAAATAATTTGGCTGGCTATGTTCTAGCATTTTATAGGTCGACTTTGGGCACCTGCTTGGCTAACCTGCAGATCATGTTATATCAGGGTAGTTAGAAAACCGTTTTTATCGAAAGAAAATTTTACACATCATCAAGGGACAATGTTAAATTTTGGTTGTCTACAGTTGACAACCATCTGAATCATGTGCGTGAGATGGAATACGACACAGCTGGGCATTCACATTTCCAAAGTTGGGGCACTTTTGGCTCCGCGTAGAACAGAAGTCCGTTGTGGTGGCTATTCCCAACCTGGTATGAGAGCCTTCGTGAGTATCGCGGGGGCACACCCTAGTATAGCTCAGTGGGTCGATGAAGTGCGCAAACTGTCACGCCACGGTAAATTCCAGTCTCTCCACAGTGGGGAAGAAGTTGACGCCGCTAACTGCATTTCGTGCCCCTTTTTTCACTTGTGTCTTTCAGGTGAACGACAGCCACTGATCGACAAGAACAAAAGCGACCCGGGAAACTTGGGCAAAAGCCTCGATCCTGTGTATCAGTCCGTGAATCCGTGGATCCTTGCCAATAAACTTAACTGCGAGCTTGGTATTCCAATGAAACTTAAGAAAACCATTTATTGTCGACTTCAGTGAGCAAAGCATATATACTGGTCTGAGTGAGTCAAGTCATCCGAATCGGAAACGCGTTCTGTCTTAGTTATGCTCTGTGCGCGATGAGAAAGTGCCTCACATTTCCTCCTGGTAGTCGCTCAGTAGCATGAGGGAGCCGGAGCTTGCGAGGTCAACAGTAAACAGCTTAGAAAGGGTTCCGCATCCATGAATCCTTTTCGCACATAATTAATATGCACCTCTTAGATGTCTCTATGTTGAACAATAGGCTCTTCAGTATACGACCAATGCAAGCAAATATGAACCAATTTTGTGGATAAAAGAATGAAGTTTTTGCCAAATAAATATGTTCAAACCGCGCCTACAGGTCGCTTTTTTGAATGAGCACACACGGAGAACAAAGGAATATCAACTGGCACCTCGAACAGCGCCAGATTTCGTGCTTGTTGGAGTTTGGATCCCTCGGGTTCAAACGCCCACGCTTGTAAAGTCAAGCAAAGCAAAGCAGTCTGTAATTCCTAAGAAGTTTCGGACTAAATCACTGGGTTGTGACTTGCATGGACATTCCTTCCTGCGCGGTTTGCCCATGTTGTTCAGCCTTTATGTGGTTGACGCATAGTTGTTGGCGCATCCGGCACGGGAATTCGCCGAAGTGCCACTGGCCAGGACGCTGCCACAGAGTAAGGAAGATTCATAAGCAGCTGACCCGCAGACCAAATTGGACTAACTAACCGGACAGTTTGCAGCTGTTTAGACATAATCGTAGAGGTGCACTCAGATGTTCCGATGCTAAGGCAGTAGCCTGGCTTGGCAGCGAAAGAACAAAAGTCGTTGTACCTGACAATTCGTAAATGATAAAACATTGGGCTACTCCTCTTTTCCCGTATGGCTTGCGCTTGGCGCAGTGACACAGGCTAAGATTCAGGCCGTTATCGAGATAGACGAGAGGAAGTTGTGCCTAATTAACACAGGAACAGGGGTATCGCCATAATATATCGTTGGATCAGTCCGTGTTCAATGGACACTCCGAAACGCTCGCAGGCCGTGAAGATACAATTGACGTCTGCCCGTTGAGCGAATACGAAATTTCAATCCCGTCCGGACCAAGTCCATTGTGAGGTACCTACGAGATAAGGTCCATAAACAAATTCAAGAGATGGTCCAAACGGCATAATCGAGAGTGCCAACAGTGCACGCAACTCCCCGGTTGCGCTTGTAAAGAAGGCGAAAGGGGCATTTCAGTTTTGTGTGCATTTTAGGCGTTTGAACGAATTAATCTTTCGGCTGCACGGATTTTTGATTCCTTTAACGATTGCCAAAATTGGATGGTTTTTAACTTTCGTTCTGGATACTGGCAACTATCCATCGAAGCGGAGAACCGGGGGAAAACAAAATTGATGGTTTAGGACATTATCAATTTATGAGGATACCGTTTGGTTTTTCGGAGGCACCATTCACATTCCGGCGCTTGATGCTTCGTTTAAAGAAAGGACTACGGAATGCGCACCATTCAAATCCGGCGCTTGATGCTTCGTTTAAAGAAAGGACTACGGAATGCTGCCGTGTACGTAAACGAAAGCGTTCGGCTTACTTGAAGGCTGAATTTAAGCTTAGTCGGGAGGCTGGCCTGCCGATAAATGAGGCCAAGGCACAACTCGCCCTGAGTTTAACGAGAGTCCACAGGTCCAAAATGGATTATGTAGAATTGAGTCTACGGCCAGAAACTCTGGCAAGGATCCAGGAATGTGCTGCTCCAGGTTCTTTCGGCTGTTTCCCCAGGCCATCTATGCCCCTTTTCTTTTTACCAAGTTCATAGCTCTGGGTTGAATTTTCAGCCCGTTTAATGTCCGACGATTTTCGGCCAACCCTATTAAGCCTACCAAACCAAAGGCAAAGCTCCTCCTTGTGAAGAGCGCAGTATGAACCGCCTCATGATGTTCAGTGGGCAAAACCCTTGTATGGCTTCATAACCCACCGAGTATATACCCACCCTTGCTGGGGACTCCGTTCGATTGGGTAGAACACAACAACACTCCGTGATCATTTAGTCATAATGCACACGCACTGAAAACCTCCATTCTAATTCCATTGCCCCAGGGGCGGCTGCCATTTTATTTGTATTAGCCGTGACCCGTCTTTGCAAGAGTTGTCTGCTTGTTCACACTGGCTGAGCTATTGCTCTGATCTGGCCTTCCACGACCAGATAAGTTGTCCGGTAGCTGCGATAATTCGGTTACCCACACGCCGCAATCATCATCGTTTGGTTATTTGCAACCTTGTAAATCTGCTAGAATGCTTTAGGGCTGAGAGCCTCGTGTGAGTGGATCGCGCGATTGTAAGGTAAACAAAACGCACTGAAGGCTGTTGCTGCAGGTGTGAAATTGCATAGAGGAATAATTAAGAGAGGATAATAATAATAATAATCATTCCCAAATAGTTGGTTACGTACCGTCAGGCATGATCATAGTATTACAGTCCAAATAAGGACATGACTGATGGGGGTTGTGATTAATGGGAATTTCCTAGAAAAGGGACGGCGACGTGAACAGCGGGCATTAACGAAGTAGACTTTATCACACCTGAGGTGGCATGTGTAGGGATCCAAAATTTCAAGGGCTGTTTATATCCTACGGAGAACACATTAGATGACACAAAATCTGATCGTTAGGATTTAAAAGTGGCGGACAAAAACAATACGAATGAGGGTGACAAAAAGCTTCCTGCCTGGAACGTGACACAAAACAAAAAAGCTTCAAACTGCCTTGGACTGTTGGGCGCACAACCACGGAAAGCATAAGTGGGGATGGTGACTTGGGGTACTATGCAGTACAGACAAATGGTAGTCGGAAACTCAGAATCACAGTGTGCTGTGAAACTTGAGCGACTCACTAGTGTTGCTGCTGGAGCGGGGTCGAATGTAAAAGTTACTTGAAAGAACGAGCTTACGCAAACTGTACGAAAGTTGACCGACTTGGTGGAGAGTGCGAACAAAAGTCGCCGGGAATTTAACATCCGACAGAAGGTTCGGCAGGTTGCAATGAACGAGTGTCGGCGGTGGCTGGTGACAAATGAAGACTGGTCGTGTTTGCCGGTAGCGAACGAGTGGGCGAGAGCGCGATCAAGGTAAAAGTGAACAATTGCGGGTGTGCTAACAAACTGGGTATCACAATGGCATACCGTCACTGCACCGAAATACTTCGGTCTCTAGACAGCCCTGTGGCACACGTCGTCAGCAAGGTAGGCTGAGATGCACAGTCCAGTGAAAGTGACCCTTACAGTCCTGCGGTTGCAGTTGTCCGTTGCACTATGGCGCGCCCGCATGTCTGCCAACACTTAATTGGCATGGGTGCATCGCCCATCGACACTGGTTCTAAGCCTGGCTTTTTATCCATAAGAGCGCACCTTTCCAGTCAGTCTGCAGCTGCTGGCTTAGACTTTCCATGACTGTCATTTATCTAGTAACGCCGAAAACCAAAATGACGGAAAATAAATTCACGTGCGTCAAGAAAGAGACCTTGTAATTTTGGATCACTACCCATGCCACCTCAGGTGTGATAAACTCTACTTCATTAATATTTACTATTTACGTCACTTTCCCTTTTCCCATTAATCACGAACCCCACCAGTCATGCCTTTATTCTGACTGTAATACTATGATCATGCCCGACGGTAAGCTACCCACTAGTAGGGAATAAATGTTATTATTATTACTATTATTATTAAACTTTCAGATTTGTGTACAGGGGGTTACCTGAAGATACCCTTCGGTTTCCAAAGCTAAAGCTACCTTCGCCATAGCCTGGGCTCAACCACACTAAGGCCTATCTCGTCAAACTAATAAAGCAAACGAACACTGCTGCTTCCAGGAGTGGTATTGTCCAACAAATTAACAATTTATATGCTAAAATTCTTAATACCTCACTACTAGCATTCAAGACTAGCGCTTACGTGATTTCTCTATTCATACGAAACTTGCTGATTGAAGTTGGTTGCTGCGCCCTATTACCGGAAGCCATTTTTCTTGCACCCACTTTCGTCTCTAAATTATGATGCCGTCCCACTCACGTACCACACCTCATATAAACTAGTTCACCATTTTAGTGGCCATATCCTGATCACTTCTTATGTTCGTTGCCTCCAATCACAACAACTCTCCGTTAACTTATACTGATTTCTTCTGTTTCTTTTGCGCTATAATAACATTATATTAGCAAGCTTGCCAAATCGTTTATCGTTGGGCTAGGAAGCCAGTTGTTGATTGCTAGTCTACTAGGCATTGATTCCCACTAATCTCGTTATTTGACAACCTGCCGTCATCACAGTAAATGCAATGGCCTCTATGTTCTCTTTTTCCCTCCCCTATAACTGTTGTAACTTCTAATTTCAGCTCCCATTGTCAACCTATCAAAGTGCCTTTGTAACAAACATTTTTCTTTGCCCATATTCCAAACCATAGGTAAATGTCCCGTCCCATATTCGTACCATATCCTCTCATGTAGGCTATTAAAATGCGTTCGGTTCTTTATTTTTTCTCTTGAGTGTGGCGTACGTCTTTCCTCGCCACACTTGATGCTTCTTTGGAAGAGTTCCTAATCCTTTCCATGTTGCATTGTCATCCCAAACGTCCAGTAAATTTTCCATACCACGTAAACTTACCAGCGTCAACTCACAAACGAATCAGCTTTATCGCAAGTGCTTAAAGCCGTTAATTACTCTATCTCCTACCACTTTTGCAGAAGATTCACTTGCGTGACTGCACCTACACCTGCCCTCTGAAGTGCAGATCATTTATCCAGTGTCTCGCGCCAGCCCGCCTCCACTGACCTCACCCTAGTTCCATACCTTCTGCTTTGGGCTTGAGATCCCAGATAACTTATTCTTTATTCTTGAAAGTCGGGTCCAATCTCCGAATATCCCAGTCAGCTCCATTTATTGTCTGGTGACTTGCTCTGCCTAGGTTCAACTAACACTAGCCAAGACGAGGTCCTTACCATACCCAGTCTGATGGCGCATCTCCAAC